TGTATGAGTTTATTTATAACATACCGTATACTCTCCAAGATGCGCTAATTAACTTGAACAATAAAATCCAATATTTGAATTCGTTATTTGGTATAGGTCTATTTAAGTTATTAGCTTTATATTAAAAATCAGAATGAAAAAAAAAATGTTCATAGTCAATTAATTAGTAAAGAATACCTGTTCAATCTTTTATAAAATTGGCTCGTAAACTGTATAGTAATTGAACTAAGGAATTTGTGGTAAGTCATCAGAAACAATTTTCATCCATAGTTTCATTGAAACATGTTCATAACTGCAGACAGATCTTTATTATGCAATGATGGATAAAACACAGGTTGTGACGTTCGATTGGATTCGCGTTTGAAAGGAAAATACCAGTACTGAGCACACGCAGATAGACTGTAGGCGCAGCCGAGAAAAAGAGTTCGAGAGAGTTACATTAACAAACAATCGCCTCTAATTCCCTTGCGAATATATCGACATTTATGAATTATCAACTACAAAATGACGCTTTGAATGTCATATTCTGTAAATCATTCAATCTACTGATGAAAGGGGTCTGAAGATGAATTGTAGCCGTCCACGTGGAAGGTTATCAGGGTCAAAGTGAGTTTCCCACAGTTATATGATATATTTCCCCGTATCATGGAAAGTATTCACTTTATAAGGCATAATTCGTACGTGATTGACTGTGTCGATTCAGTTACACGCTTTACCCCTTGTTTCTTACGTAATTTGTCATCGAAAGGAAGCGTTGATGACATGTTCAACTACAGAAAACATCAATGTCTTTTTACACTTAAACCACCATTTTAATGTGATTGGCAACTGATGCAGGTGTATGTACGGCAATGCAATATTGACAGTTGGCAATGTAAACAGTAATGTGACAAAAGAATAGATAAATGAATAAAATCTGATGTAATTAATCATTATTATTTACTGGTTATGTGATAATTGAAATAGGAAAAACTGCATTGAATATAAGCAACAAGTATTATTTTTATAAGATATTTATAAAGAAAAACAAAACGATTATCGCAATAATAATTTTGTAAATTATTATTATATTTGTTGTCATGGATACCAGACTTATGGCAATATATTACACATGAAAAAGGAGAGGAATAAAAAAAGAATATGAAGAAAAAGAAACAAAGAGAAAGAAGAAAACAAACAGAAGAAAAAGGAAATAAACAGAAGGCGTGAAGTAGGAAGAGGAGACAAATAAGAAGAGAAAAAAGAAGAGGAGTAAGAAGAAAAGAAGAAGAAGAAGAAGAAAAATGAATAGAAAGATGAATAGAAAGAGTGAAGAAAACGAAACAGAGGAAAATTCAGGAAGAATAGGACGAAGAAAAAATACTATGACGAAAATAAATAAGAATAACGAGAAGAAGAATAGAAGAAATAAAAAGAAGGAGAATGAAGGACAACAAAATGAGAAATATTGTAGACAAAAGAAGAAGTAGAAAAAAAAGATAAAGAAGATGCAATACTATTAATTTAACGATTTCACAAAATCCATTGTCTTTTTTAATAATATAAAACGTTATTTTTTATTAATCAGTATATACATTTATGTGAGCTTTAAACGTAATTTTATTTGAAAAAACATTTTACCTAACAGTTTAAGTGACAACAATAGCCTAAGATGGATTGAAACCTTTTCTGTGTACTGGAAGAACATTATCAGTTTCAATTGCTGTCTTAAAGGTGTACAAATGTAATTATTCAACATGCTATGGATCAAAGTGGAATGTTTGATATACCGTTTCACGTTTCGTGAATGGGCAATATAAATGGAGTCTCGTACAGTCATAATTGATACAAATGACATACTCTAGCATACATCGTTAAAATTGACAATATATTGACTTTGAAACACAAACTGAACAGAAATCATGAAAACCAAATAATCGAGAAATGATTTTACACGAGAGAGCATCACACACAAATTTCCGACAGAAGAAAAATTGGAGATGACATGAAATCTTAACTAGCCTATTGTTAATGTCAAAATTAGCTTAATCAGATGGCGGGGAAAAAAGCAAGAGTCAGATGTTACAGACACATGAAAGATCGATCTGATGTAAATGTTACAGTATCCGCACTCTTTAATACACAGGATGGTTCGATTTGCACGGGACGAGTTTACATTAAACCATAATTTACCTATGTGCGTTGCAGACTTTATGACAGAACGTTTGAACAGAACACATTATGAACATTTTGTAGGCCACAGGTACATTACTTCAGTGCCATTTAACGAAGATTCATTATGATTTATATTTCAATATAGAGATGTCATATTAGTTTTATAGTTCTGTAGCTTCCTCCACCCAACTAAATGATCCTATTCACGTCAAGTGTAGGCCTACTAATCAATAACAACGATCGAGCCTCTAAAGGACGTTCAGGGATTTACAATTAAAGCACGGCTATGGCAAAATAATTCGAAAATCTCACTTTCGGTCTAAAAACTTTATTGGCCGGATTAAAACGGCTATTCTTGTCAATTGGTTGTCAACTAATTGCGAATGGATATCTCACATTTTTGTTTATGCTTTTCAAAACAGGATGTAGGTCTATTGTATTTTGATGGAAACGTAATAGACGCACTTGGGAGCGAAAAGTGATGGTTTGGACACAACATTAATAAAAGCAAACCTCACAATAATGAACTTATCAAAAACCATTGGTAATTAATATTATCCGTTACATTAGCTATAGTTGTATCGCAAGGACACTCATTAGGTTCGTGGTGATGATGAAGATCGAAGAAAAATTGATTATTATATGATGATGATGATGATGCCTCGTGATGATGACGTTAATGACAATGAGGATGGTAGTGATAATAATGGTGCTTGGAATTATGTTAATGTTTATGTTCAATAACAAATTGTCCTGGGACAGTTGCGGATTCAGAATGTTGCTGGGGTGCGGGAGGAGTGGGCCCAAAGATCAATGATGGATTTATGGTCCGTCAAGGAGTTTTTATTATGACTATGCCTCCTGAGTTATAGGCATTTAAATTTTCGGATCGAAAGGCCTACCGAACCGATCAGAACTTGGATCCACCACATTGGCTTAGACCCCAAAATACTCCAAGAAATTTGATAATGGTGATGACGAAAACGACGATGACAAAAATGATGACGATTATAATGATGATGATATGGCTTTGAACGTGGTGGCTGGGATGGTGCTTGGTGGTAAAGGATATGGTGATCGTGATGTAATAAATATCAAGAAAGTGTTGATATTGTACACAACTATAATAATAATAATGTTGATGATGGTTAAATAATATTATTACTATAAGATATTAGGAACTGCAAACTCGCCAAAGTATTTTATTTCACGTTTACATTGATTTTAAATTTTCTTGTTCAATCAGCAATTCATGAAATATGATGTTTGTTTAAGATGCAATGTCAAATATAAGTTTTAGCAATTTGAAATAACATTGTAAAAAAAAGTTGCATCCGATGCCTGCGGCACTTTGCCACTGCTGTATATATTAAACATACCACTATACGAGCAAATATTGTGCGGCACGCGTCAAACCGCTGCAATGTGTAATTAGCCAAATCATAACGCATAAATATGGTCAGGCGTTATGTTCTGCTATTGTTTGTGTCATTATATGGATAATGGTATAACAATAGCGAAGTTTTGATAATATAACCTCATTACATGTCAATAAGTGCCATTTTAACGAGAGGATGACTACGTCATCATATCTTTGAATACTATGCAATTTGTTACGGCGTATCGATTATCGGATAAACCGGTGTCACATAGAAAAATAATATCTAAGTCACTCGAATTAATGAGCGCATTTGATTGGCAGTAAGGTCTGCTAACCCTTCTACATTCAATTTAAAACTCAGTTGACGACTGAGTACCGTACCGTACAAGATAGCGGTGATATCAATAATAGAAATTAAAAGGTAGGAACAGTAGAGACAGTACTTTTAGTTTGAGTAGACAGTGGTTTGTCAGAGACATCGAGACTTTTCCATTAGAGTGTGTGGTATTGATGATGCTGATAATGCTCCTAATGATGTTGATATAAAATATACAGACTATGGTAAAATCTGGGGGAAAAAACCCCAAAATTTATTTGAAAATTGTGCATTTCAATTCATTCATTCAGTTATTCGACCTCAAGATTACAATAACAAAAACATGCAAAGATTAAAAATGACAGAAAAATTATTGGAAAAACATATTAACATACATTAAACAGGATAACCCAAGAAAACCAATAGCAGGTTTATTTCCATTGGGTCCTGGATTTTCAAAGGAATTAAAAGGCTTTTAACTTAATAATAATAATAATAATAATAATAATAATAATAATAATAATAATAATAGGGCCTAATAATAATAATAATAATAATTACAATTTGATAATAATAACAACAACAATAATAAGGTAATTATAATTGTAATACGTTATTTCGAACAACAGCAGTCCATACCGTACCATGCAGCAAATACCGTAGCTCTTTACGTTTGTATTTTTTTTTATATAAAAAAAAATAGTAAATTATACACAAACCGCTCTCAATTAGTCGATCGCACGAGGCTATGGACTGAGTTGAGTTATCGGCTTAAACCTACAGTATGCATACTTCGTCATCAATGGTGAAAGTCACGGTCAGAAACAAATATACAGTGCTGATAAATATTTTTGCTTTACAAAATATTCTTAGAAAACCAGAAGGCCTATATATTTATATGTTGATTGCAATAGTGAACGTAAAGCATTTTTAAAGTGATAGAAATAATCTACATCTGTAATGTTCCTCATTTTCACACTCATCATTCATAATGATTCTTTAGAACCTAATTGTCGCTTGAAAAATATTTGTTCGTAATCTCTGCAAGCGTAATCATTTTTACGCGAGAATAATGGTCTGATCTTTATCGGCCAAATAGTTTGGTCTTCGGCCAATGGGCTCCGAAAATAAATCGAACACGTAACTTACCTGGTCTGGTGTCAGGCTATCAATGGATTACTGTCCGTAGAGAAATCTCCTGGTGTATGTGACTCTTGCGAGTGAGTTTACAAGTATGAATCCTTTAGAAAACTTGGCTTCCTTTTCATCCATGCGCGACCGTCCTATTGGTCAGCGTTTCGTCATCGATTACGTCACAGGTTATGCGCGAGTATAAGACTCTTTTTTTCCATACACCTTTTGTTACTAACTGAAATTTGAAGTTCGGCGTTCACCTTTGCCGGCTAATTACACCCTGCATCATCTCTCAGTATCGGGCGCGTATCTATTGACTATCTCTACGATTCATTTGATCGCGCCATCGACAGAATATAATAGTTGACAGATTCAAAATGAAAACGTCAAACAAACAGCTCGCAGGTTTATTAGTTTCAAGTCGAAGATTTGGTGGACGAATAAATCACAAAGGGCTTTCGTTTCGGAATAACTAACCGACTAATCATTTATAACGATGCGTTGCAAAGTCAATGTACTTAAATAGGATACAATCAATACCATTGAATATGGTATACAATAACATTTTCAGACGGTGCCGGTCCTAAACTTAATTATACAGAATGTGACAGTCGAGTAATTATTAATTTACAGACACTATTATGAACTGGTTTACTCAATTTGTTTTCGCTTCCGATAAATGTCGGTAGTAAAACTTGACTTTGAATTACCTAAACATACGACACTCACGTACATTCACACACATATTTTTTATATGCATATAGCACAAAATCTATATAAATCAAAACCAACATAGTCTTATATTATTTATTTATCAAATAAACATGTTAAAAGTATATCATTTATTATATATACATTATTATATTATATAAAGAAAAGAAAGCCTATATAAATACATATAGGCTAATGTATATATATATATATATATATATATATATATACATATATATTATAGCAAATAAGTAAATGATAGAAAGAGGGCTAAAATATAGCAATAAATGGTGGTATGATCTTACCAAGCTTATCACTTCATGCCCCCACCCCCTCTTTTCGCGGGGGCATGCCTTCGGACTCCATAGGCTAGTGTTATCTTGATCGGCTCCACTTTCGGCTCCATTTTCGCCCTCCCCCTCCCCCCCCACCTTTTGACCCCACTTTTAGACATCTCTGGATCCGCCCCTGGAATCCCGTTGGTATATCACAGATTCAATCCAGCTAGATATCCACTCTGATGATACATGTATACCTTCACGTGTGTGTACAAATTATTGAAGTTCCACGTTTGTTTCAGAATAAAAAGGGAAAGTCTTTACCGGTCTTCCCTAGAGTTTAATTTTTAGGTCCTTATATTAGTGTCCTCTTCTTTTATACAGACCAATGCTTATGTGTGTTTATGGGATCCATTGGTAGATACAATTATACCAAACTGTATTTATGTATACTGTATTTAATTTTACATATAGGATTAACTGTTCATATAAATGTAACCCAAATGATAGTAAGAATTTAAGAAGAAATTCTTCCATCAATGCCATCAATGATTGGTCTATATAAAGATAATAATCATTTAAAAAAAACTGTTCCAATTTGTAGTCTAAACCAGACCTTTCCGACTACGTTCAGAATTATATTAAGTGGTTATCACACTTCTACCACTCGAGCGAAATGTGGTAGCTTCCGAAAGTAATTAACGGCAACACACTTGGATGATTGACACCTATTGAACTCTCAATATATGTATATATAATTAGGCCTAAGTTACCTGGCTCTGTATATATATATATATCTGTCTCTTATACACATCTAGATGTGTATAAGAGACAGGGTTTCCCATAGATAATGATTTCTTGAAAATTCTAAAATTGATGACGTAAGGTATTCGTATTGTTTACAAAACTTTGCATCAAAACGAAAAGTACAAATCGAGTAAGTACATAGTGCTGGAGTGTCAATCCAACAACTGGTAATCAAAGCAGGGCTAATACGACGCGCATGTCCCACCAAAATGAAAGAAAAATCGTCACAATTAGGCATGGATTACGCTGTCGGATGGGACTTTGAGTAATGGCCCATTATGTATGTACTTGAACTGATATTGAAAATATAATGATTAATAGGTTAGAAGCCTATGCATATCACCATATTCTGGAAACATGAATATTAAATGTAACGCAAGATACGGTAATCATTTTTAGTCCATAGAATATTTCAGTTCGCTAATCTGTTTTACACTGGACCTATATTGCACCTCTTCAGCATTTAATTCAGACGACACAAAATTATAAATTTACAAACATCATAAATGATAATTTCTTTTAGATGCTTTAATCGGATTTGAATTCCCAACAAATCCTCAATGGTCTAGTTGGTTATTCGTCTGCATAGACTGCAGAAATTCCTGGGTTCGGATCCCGGTTGGGGCACCTAATTTTTCATACTCGCAGATTCCTCTTCTTTAACGTTTTCAAAAATGTTTATATATATTTACAGCATTATCGCAAAACGATTTAGAGATTATCTCTATCATATAATTTTTTGCTTATAAAAAGCATCTCTTCGGAGATCTCGTCTTGTCGCCAATTGCTGATAAGAAGAGGATGTATCATATTAATCTCTGTTATTTGCCTCGGTTCCCCTTCTTTTAAGTTTAAAAAGTCTCGGTTACGTTTTATCGTAGTACGTTTCTACATTTGATTTTCAATTAGATCCAGCAAATATACGTAATCACCAGATGACATTTTAGGCGGGAAATGAAAATGTAGGCGACAAATCTATAATTAAACACAAGACCATCCTTAGACCTGGCGCTGTAGGCCTTATTGCAGGAAGACAACGTAGCTGAGTAAGCAAATAATTTCTTTAGATAACTGAGTCCGACCTGGTACTCGATCATCAATGTTCTTTGTTTCAGTAAGCACGTCAACACATGCAGTTCCCACGTTAAAGTTAATCATTTCTATAAACGACAGTGATATGTTTGACGTCATCTTTTTAGTAAAATTAAACAAAACTTCTATTTACACACTGATAAACGAAATCCATGTTTACCTTCAAATATATTTTCACCTGAATAAAAGCGAAAATTTACGCAATGTAACAAAAATGACGTAGTGAGTTGTGAAAAGATTTTTGTGGATTCTAGCCGGGAGGTTAATTATTTTTGTTTCCTAATAATTAAAGAAGTCAACACTTCTAGTTCAACATTTTACGTAGTTATGTGTTTGACGTTATGGATTTTTTTCTTATTATTTGTTTACATATTGCTTATATTGATCAAGTATAGACACCTACCGTACCTAACCACCAGATGAAATTTCAAGCGGAAGAGACATTCGAAAGCTAGGTTGTGGTTTCAAATTAGTATTAGTTAAGCCTTCAAATGTCTCAGATTTCCACTCATATTTTTGGTATTAATTAATATCTAACGGTATATCGTTTCTTTGTGAAGGCGTCTGTATAGACAGCATAAGGTTCCAGGTTCGAATCCTGGCTGGAGCACCAATTTTCTTCACAGTAGCAGATTCCTCCTCTTTAAAGTTT